AGACTCAGCAGGACCTTGACTAGGGGGTCTGACCTCAGCACAGCTCCCACCCAGCTTTCTAGGGACAACAGGCTCACGGAGACTCAGCAGGACCTTGACTAGGGGGTCTGACCTCAGCACAGCTCCCACCCAGCTTTCTAGGGACAACAGGCTCACGGGGACTCAACGGGACTCTGGCTGTGGGGCCTGGCTTCAGTGCAGCTCCCACACAGCTTTCTAGGGACAACAGGCTCACGGGGACTCAGCAGGACCTTGACTAGGGGGGCTGACCTCAGCACAGCTCCCACCCAGCATTCTAGGGACATCAGGCTTACGGGGACTCAGAAGGTAGCGATGGCTCACGCACTCAAGGGGGCAGTCCAGGTAGCTATACCCCGGGCATGCCATGGGGCAGTTCAAACAAGGTCTGAGTACACAATAGGGGCAGCTCATGACAAGGGTGGTCTGTGCACACACTAGGGACAGTTCATGGCTTCTAGGGACACTCACGATAGGCGTCTTGCAGATGCTCAGCAGCAGGTGGCTTCCAGGGAGGTAGGTGGCTTGTGGGGACGCTCAGCAGCAGACGGACTTCCGGGGAGGTAGACGAGTGGAATCAGCTCAGCAGCAGGCAGCTTCCAGGGACAAAGTGGTCAGCAGGCAGGGCAGCTTCCCAGGGACCCAGCAATCAGCAGACAGGGCGACTTCCCAGGGACCCTCAACAACGGACAGCGGCCCTCACAGTGGCCAGCTTTTCAGGGACAGCAGCGATTAGCAGGCAGGGGCCCTCACAGCGGCCAGCTTTTCCAGGGACAGCAGCAATTAGCAGGCAGGGGCCCTCACAGCAGCCAGCCTTTCCAGGGACAGCACCGATTACCAGGCAGGGGCCCTCAGAGCGGGCAGCTTTTCCAGGGACAGCAGCGATTAGCAGGCAGGGGCGCTCACAGCGGCCAGCTTTTCCAGGGACAGCAGCGATTAGTGGGCAGGGGCCATTGCAGTGGCCAGCTTGCCAGGAACATCAGCTGGAGTCCTGGCTGTGGGATCTGACCTTTGAGGAGGGGGCTCTTGTAGAGTGCTCAGTGGGGATGGCTTCGGAGGCCTGATTTCCCCACCCAGACCTCCCACAACAGCGGTCACGGCAGGCCGAGATAGAGCAGCCGGACAGTGCAGGAGGAAGAGACCGGCCGTCTCCCGCGCCGGCCTTTTAAACCGCCCAGGACGCTTCCAGGTTGCCCCGGTAATGGCCGGCCTAGCGCCGCGTTGCCGGGGCAACGAGGCACGCCCCCTTGACTCGGGCCGCGCTTCTCGCGAGCACTGCCTTTGTCACTGGTGGGCCCAGAGTGTGGGAAGCCCCCTGTGCCCGCGGAAGGAAGGAAGGAAAGAAGGAAGGAAGGGAATGGATGGAGGAAGGAAGAAAGGAGTGGAGGGAGGAAAGAAGCAAAGGAATGAAGGGAAGTGATGAAGGAAGGGAGGGGAGGAAGGAAGGGCAGACTCACATGGATAGTTTCCAGATCCCAGATGGAGCTGCCAGCTGCTCCGTCCATGCATCCCCTTCTCTGAAGCTGCATGGATTGGAGTGTGGGAAAAGGAAGAGAGGAAGGCAGGGTGTGGAGAGAAGGGAATGGAGGACAGAGGGAAGGAAGAGAGGGAGGAATGAAAGGAAAGGAAAGAAAAGAAAAGGCGGAAGGAAGGAAGGAAGGAAGGAAGGAAGGAAGGAAGGAAGGAAGGAAGAACGAACAGACTCACATGGATTGTTCCCGGGTAACTTGCACATTCAGAAGCATCAACATCGGCCGTTCGTGTGTTCGGCGAACAAATGAACTGTAAGGGCGTTCGGCGGGCTGCTCGCCTGCCGAGACCCATAATGCACTGCGCTCTGACAGTTCATTGTGATTGTCCAAAGCAAACAATAGGTCAGGTGCAATGCTTTGACCAATCACAGCACAATTTGGCAGAGGTAGAGGGGACATCACCGCTGGCTTCGCCCAGTTGTTTACATTTGACTGGTAAATGTCAGATAGCGGCGAGTGCCGGGTGAGTGCGGATGGGTCAGTGAGTCGGAGTCATCATGACAATTGATTGATGATGGATTACAATGCTGGAACCTTTTTTTGGCTTTTTTTTTCAATTAAAGGACTTGTCAAAAACTGTTGTATTTTTATTCACAATTGACACTTTTTTGGTGAATGGGTAAGGATATTATGTACCCCATACTCATTCACAATGGGGAGGCCAGGATCTGGGCACTTTTCTCCCCCCATTTTTGGGAGGTGGGGATCCCCTTAAAACTCCTATCCAGCCCAGGGTTGTGGGGAAGAGACCCTTGTCCATACCAACTTGGGGTCAAGTTGCTTTGGGGGGGAAAGTGCCCTATGTTGAGGGGATGTGGCCTGGTATGGTTCAGGAGGGAAAGCGCTCTCTTTCGCCCCCTTTCCTGGCCTGCCAGGCCTGTGCTCGGATCAAGGGTCTGGTAGGAATTTTATGGGGGACCCCATGCTTTTTTCCCCTCAATTTTTGGAGGTGGAGTTCCCCTTAGAAGTCCCACCAGGCCTAAAGGGCCTGGTATGGCATTTAGGAGAAACTCCACGCACTTTTTCCCCAGATTTTTGGAAGGTGAGGTTCCCCTTTAAAGTCCTACCAGGCCTAAGGACCTGGTATGACTTTTAAGGGGAACCCCATGCACTTTTTTTGGAATTTTTGTACTGTGGGGTCCCTCCTAACCTGACTACCTAAAGGGTCTGGTATGGATTGGGGGGAATCCCAGGTTGTTGGTTTTTTTTTTTTTTAAATAAAAATGTCATTTAAAAAAAAAAATAGTCCTGCTGTAGCAGGTTTTACACATTGTACAAATGTGCAACGTTGCAGGTAGTTTAAAGGAATTTTTCTTCCTTTTTTACTTTTAGCAATGAAAAATGACTCCCCCTTTAAAAACTGTACTTTTTGAATTTTTTTTTAATTGACTCATGCAGTACCCGAGTCCCCATACCACTTTTATGGCCAATAACTTGCATATAAGCCTTCAAAATGGGCACTTTTGCATTTTCAAGTTCGAGTTCCATAGACTTGTATTATGTTTGACGTTCACGGTTGAACTTCCATTTGGTTCAATACTTGACTGCGAATCGAACAGGGGGGTGTTCGGCCCATCACTAGTGAATACCCTGCACCCATGGATGATATGCCACTGCACCAAATTGGAATAATGTGAAAGCTAAAAAATACCTACATGTGCAAAATATGTAATGCCAGATTATGTTGTTGCTGGCTCTGTCCATAAGAATCTTACTGTATTGTGAACAATTGGTGTTTTTTTTACCATGTCGCCCTCGAAGTCACATAAAATAGAGGATCGTCACCCGGCAGTACTACTGTGTTTGTTAATTTTTTTTTTCTTTTTTGTTGCATTGGTAAAGGCTCCGCATGCCCTCTAGCCTCGAAATGACCACAGCTGATTTTAAAGATTCTTGACTTCAATAGGATTCAGATTAAAGAGCACATTTTCCAGGGTTCACAATGAGTTTGGTGAATGGTCAACTAATCGAACCCAAGTACATTTGCTGATCAGTGTTTGTAACTGTCTGAATGAGAAGTCTTTGTAAACAAACATTTATACAAAGAATAGATGCAGGATTTAACTCTAATTATAAAAAAAATAGATATTTGATCTAACCCAGGATCCTTAAACTACGGCTCTCAGGCCACATGTGACCCGTCGAGGACATTTATCAGGCCTGCCGGCAGGGGCGTATTTGCCATGAGGATGGGACACTAAGTACAGGGGCGGGCAGGGGGCTGCTGTATCTTACCTGGCTCCGTGTCCCAGTCTCACGATGATCCAGTCCAGGAAGCGCTGCTCCTTCATTCACTCCGGCTGCTCCCTCACTTGATGTTTGCGCTGCCGCTCGGCTCCGCCTCCTCACCGATGATTGAGCACCAAAACTGTAGCTCAGGAAAGGCACACAGGCGGCCAATCACCTGCGAGGAGGCGGAGCAGAGTGGCCCCGCAAACACTGAGTGAGGGAGAGGCCGGAGTGAATGAAAGAGGACAGCTGACCGCCCGGTAAGTGTGTGCCATGCAGATGGTGCTGCTGCAACCAGGTATGCTGGCTGCAGCAGCACCATGCTGGAACAGGGGTCAGCAAGTTAAGTGTCATTGGTATCAGTGGGAGGAATAGTGCCCCATCATTGGTGTCACTGATACTAATGATGGGGCATTATTCCTCCCCCCACTGACACCAACGATGGGGCACTATTCCTCCCCCCACTGACACCAACGATGGGGCACTATTCCTCCCCCCACTGACACCAATGATGGGGCACTATTCCACCCCCCACTGCCACCAACGATGGGGCACTATTCCACCCCCCACTGACACCAACGATGAAACACTATTCCTTCCCCCACTGACACCAATGATGGGGTACTACTCCTCCCACTGACACCAATGTTGGGACACTATCCCCCCCCACTGACACCAATGACGGGGCACTATTCCCCCCCACTGACACCAAGACATACTATTCCTTCCACTGACACCAAAGATGGGGCACTATTCCTCCCACTGACACCAATGATGGGACACTATTCCTCCCACTGACACCAATGATGGGACAATATTCCTCCCACTGACACCAATGTTGGGACACTATCCCCTTCCCCCACTGACACCAATGACGGGGCACTATTCCCCCCCCCCCCCCCCCCCCCACACACTGACACCAACAATGGGGCACTATTCCTCCACCCACTGACACCAACAATGGGGCACTATTCCTCCCCCACTGACACTAATGATGGGGCACTATTCCTCCCACTGTCACCAATGATGGGGCACTATTCCTCCCTCTGACACTAATGATGGGGCACGTTTCTTCCCACTGACACCACCAATGATGGGGCACTATTTCGCTCCATAAGACACACTTGGGGGGAAATGTCTGTGCATCTTATGGAGCGGCCGGCCCAGTATTCCCGCTGCCCAATGTATGTCCGCAGTCTCTGGTGATTTCATGTACTATGTCCGTAGTCTCTGGTCATCTCCTGTACTGTGTCTGCAGTCTCTGGTCATCTCCTGTACTATGGTCTGCAGTCTCTGGGGGTCATCTCCTGTACTATGTCTGCAGTCTCTGGTCATCTCCTGTACTATGTCCGCAGTCTCTGGTCATCTCCCTGTACTGTGTCCGCCGCAGTCTCTGGTCATCTCCTGTACTGTGTCCGCAGTCTCTGGTCATCTCTGTACTGTGTCCGCACCTCTGGTCATCTCCTGTACTGTGTCCACAGTGATCTGGTCATCTCCTGTAGTATGTCCGCAGTCCTCTGGTCATCTCCTGTAGTATGTCCGCAGTCTCTGGTCATCTCCTGTACTATGTCCGCAGTCTCTGGTCATCTCCTGTACTGTCCGCACTTGTTCTTAGTTTTTTTTTAAAAACTCTAGTCCGGCCCTTCCTCCAAACGGTCTGGGGGACACACTGGCCCCCTGTTTAAAAACCAATGATGAGGACCCTGATCTATACTGTGTTTTATGATGTAAAGGCATTTTAAATTAAGCTAAACTGTGGATTCAGAAGTATGAATGCAATGGTATGTTAATGCAGGGGGCCCTTTTAGGACACCAATTAATGGGCTGTTTGCTTATGCATCTCTAGTCAGCAGGAGCTCATTCACCCGCCTGACACATTAGGGGTGAGCAGCTGCAACCACTGGCCATTCCTCCCCCCACTGCAAAAAAACCTAAGATTTCAATGGTCTACTTCCGAGAACAATTTAAAAACTGAAATATAATGATTAGATAGATACAGAGTTGAAGTGCTTTTATTGCACCAATGCTTGGACTATGTCCCACTGAACCAATGTGGGACACTGATCTGACACTGATGGGACAATATTCACTCTAAGGGTTAAACCTATGTAAACCCTGAAAAGCAAAAATGTAATTTCTTTCTCACTGTATTGAGGCAAAACAGACACTCAGAAACTATTTGGTTGTAAATGGGGCACTCCTCCCTCTGATAATGAGGGGCATTTCTTCCACTGACACTAGAGAACAAAAAACACTTGATCAGTCTGTGTATCTTATCCTTTCCACTCCCAGAATGCCTCTCTGGTGATTTCATGTACTATGTCCTAGTCAAGGGTCATGCTTTTTCTCAGTAAGAAATCTCCTGTAATGTTTTTTGGTCATCTAGCTGTACTATGTTTTTTTCAGATTCCTGTACATGTCCGCAGTTTTTTTTTTTCATCAATCATGGCTTCCCTACTGTGTCCACAGTGCTGTCTTTAGCTGGTCTCTTTATGCAGCTATCTGCATCATCTCCTGTAAAGGGATCCAATTTTCCTTCTATCTCCCTAGTCGCTGAGTATTTAAAGTTTACACTAAAATCCCTAAGCTGCTGTGTGGGACAGGTAAGTGCATATCTCTCTTATTTTCTGTGTTAACTTTCCTTTCAGTGAATTTGCAGAGAAACTCTTTAGTTGAAATGCTGGGCTGTGGAGCAGGCACGCAAACAGCATGCCCTTTGAGCAGAAATGAGCGACCTGCTTTCAAGTTCCATTCAAACGAACTTAACAGAAGTTTGGATGCCGAACCGAACCCAATTCTGTGTTTTGTTTTGTTTTTCTCTGCATTGTGGCTCTTTCCAGACCTTTGTGCACTGTGTTAGTAAGCCTTGGAGAGTTTTCAGGTCCAGAGCTGTATGGTCTAGGTATGACCCCGTCTCTGAAGATTCCCTTTGTGAGTAGGCCTTGCAGACTGAGTATTGGGAACTTTGTTTATTATCACTGTAGGATGTCATTATTATCCCTTTTTTCCATTGGTTTACCATGAAAGGGATTTCAAATAATCATTGACACAGTACTGCATTACTACGTGGAGTGTCATTCTTGGGCAATCTGCTCACTTGTTTCTACCATTCAGTGTGAAGTAGCACCTTCCCACATACCTGCTGCTCCTAATTGCAAGGGACATGTGGTTCAACCTCAAGTTAGTCTTTGCAGCTGCCTACAGTGGCCAGGTCACCTTCGATCATCTCAACCTCTTCTGCTTCCACCAGCAGGTTTGTGAGTACTAAGGCTTTGCCTAGGATCCCAAGATAAGTTGTCCCTACTCGGCAGCACAACACATCAGATCCCAGACACACAGGGAACACTTCTGCTTTACAAGGTTCCTCCACCATATAATCTACTAACACTTCTGGGCAGCCTCAGGTGTTCTCTTTTGAGGGCTTGAAACCAACAGTCTGGAATGTTGTCCTCTACTAAAGCCCCTACACTCCTCGAAGTCTCCTCCTTGGAGGTGTTGGCTCCCTCAGTTCTATTGCACTAGGATTTTAGCACAGTCATACAAGATTTCATGAACCAAATTTCAACCTCAATTGCAGACTCTGACCACAGAAACTATAAGCATACCTCCACTCTTTCCACTGTTGAATCTTTTTCTGATCTGCCCGAAGCCTTCACACCCTTTAACGGTCTGTTGCAGAGACTCTGTCTGATAAAGAATTTCAGAAATCCTCGATGATGTTGTTTCCGAGAAGTCACAGGCAATTGCTTTTGCTCCCAGCGAAAAAAAACTGACAGATTGCTGCATCAACACAAACAAAGTCCTTCTGCTGTGTCTTTGTATTCTGACTGGGGGACTCTGGACTTGCTGCTAGTGCTGATCAGATGCTGGTTTTCCAGCCATGTCCCTTCGTCAAAAGCCAGTCATTAGATATACAACTGTAAACACTGATCAAAAGTTTTTTGGCCAGTATGTACCCAGCTTTAGGGAGACCATTTTGGCTATTTTTGACATGGTGTGCATCAACTTAAAAATGGAAGAACATCTGGTTCTAAGAATAACAAAACCTTTCTGATGCACCCACTAGTCCATATGTTATTCATGGGGACTGGGAGACTCCTGATAAATTGTACATACCTTCTAATGTTTGTGGCCATATGCCCATTTAAAAGTTTTTTTTTATTAAGAATAAAAAATTATTAAAGCATTAACCAGTCCAGTGGATGATACTCTGGTGTTTTAGGATCCCATAGATAAAGATTTGCAAACCTGCCATGACCTTGATGCTAGCCTGTCAAACATTAAAGGAATGGACCAGGCTGATCATTAGGACAGCACAGTGGCTTAGCGGTTAGGACCTCTGCTTGGCAGCCCTATGGTAATTTGTTTGCAACCACAGCACTTGCGTGGAGTTTTCATTTTCCCCCTGTGCCTGCATGGGTTTCCTGGTAAGTTAATTGTCTCCTGTCTAAATTTGCCCATATGTGAATGTGAGTTATGCCCCTTTGATTGTAAGCTACTTGAGGGCAGGTACTGATGTGAATGTACAATATATACGGTATTCAATGTGTGTATATGTACTGAATAAATACTGTATTAGTGCTGTTGTCCTGTAATAAATAAATAAATAAATAAAGAGAGATCCAATTTTCCTTCACACAATTTCCCTAGTTAGTGTTTAAAGTTTATGCCAAAAGCCCCAAGCTGCTGTGTGGACAGGTAAATGCATATCTCTTTTCTTATTTCCTGTATTACCTCTTCTTTCAGTGACTATGCAGAGAACTCCTTAATTGAAATGCTGGGCTGTGGAGCAGGCATGAAAAAAGCATGCCATTTGAGCAGAAAATGTGCAACCTGCTTTCAAGTTCAGTTAAAGTGAATGTCTCAGAAGTTTGTGATGCCAAATCCGAACCCCATTGAAATCAATGGGATTCAAATCTGTCAAATAAAAAATGCCTCATTTCTGGGCTAATAGGCAAGGGGTATAAAAAAAAAAAAGCAGGGGGTTAAGAATTCCCCATGGAAAATTCCAGTAGAGAGGTGTATAAAAACTAATTGATGGTTACAAGAAGCGACTGATATCAGTTATTTTTTCCAGGGGTTGTGCTACCAAATATTAAACTGAGAGTGCCAATAATTTTGTCCAGTCCATTTTTTGGGGTATTGTGTGGCATTCCAGAGTAAACCTAACTAATCTTAAAAATGTTCCCTACCACCTCCTAACATTTATGCTGCTTAACCCATGTAAGAAAGATACTTCCGTATGTTCAGCAATGCTGTGGTCAGCAAGGTGATCCCGTGTCGATCAGGGGTGGCTACAGGCAAGAGGAGAGAGAGCACTTAGCAACAACTGGAATGCCTGAGAGTGGTGACATCCCCCATAGGCTTCAATTGCCCATTCATTGTCGGCACTCCCACTGTGATGGCTGCAGATGGCTGACACAGTGGAGTTGAAACACATGGCCATACTGGAGCGGACTGAAAAATTAGGTAGTTATATACATCTGTCTTACAAAGGTCAGTCAGCATGGGTGTCAGGAAGAGGGAACATTTTTCAGACAAGTTAGGTTTAGCCTGGAATTCTTCTTTAAGTATGGGAGGGTGAAGCATTAGATGTGCTTTTCTGTAGGAGATAGTTGCTCATAGGGCAGGTTTGGGTCTGATCTCATTTACTGCCCTAAAAACTATCAGTGCCCAGCCCTAAATGTCCAGAACTAAAATACCAGGTGGAAAGCAGTCTGGAGATTTTGAATTGCTGTTTTGTGAGTAATGTTAGTTTGAGGAAATTACATACATTCCAATAAAAGGTGGATGAGAAAAACAGGTGTTTGGTGAGTTCATTGTGACGTTTTTATCTCCACTCCCCTTGCATGAGGAAATCTAGTGATTAACACAGTGTTCCTATTGACAAAGTTAAATACATCATGAAGACGATTGTGACAGACTGTGAGATACAATGAGCGTTGCATAGGGTGAGAAAGTATGTGTATCCTTTGCCAAACCTAACACTTTTATGTGACGTCTGACTGAAGAAATACTACTTTAGTAGAGCTCTATGTGGTGCACTGCAGTTGTCATTGTATCCTTTTTTGTACCTATGAAAAGGGAGATTGGGGTACCAATCACTGGGTGTAAGGTTAAGAGCTTGCTTCATGTATTATTATTATTATTATTTTTATTATACAGGATTTATATAGCGCCAACAGTTTGCTCAGCACTTTACAAAATAATGGGAGACAATACAGCAACAATACAGTTTAATACAAGAGGGTTAGGAGGGCCCTGCTCCTTGGAGCTTACAATCTAATGTAAAAAACGTTTCCCTCCAGAGAGGACCCTGAAGAATGCCAGGTATATTATAGGATGCTGGAGCAGTGTGAAAGACAGTCCAAGTTACTAATTCTTTGATACTGAGAGAATTGTGCTCAGGCCCTCCTCAACCAGTGCCTGGGCCCATCCATTCCAAAGGGGGGACCGGTTCCTGGACATGTGCCATGCAGGAGGGATGGCTGCACTGCATTTTGTTGATGCCGATCCCCTTGTGTCTCCCTCTGCAGCACTGCCAGCTTCTCTTCCTCTCCCTCCCTGTGCTGCAGGGCGATCCAATTCAAGTATCTGTACCCTCATCCCTTGTTCTCCAGGCCCCCCTGTGTGCCCCCCTTTCACTCACTGTCTGGGTCTCCCTGTGCTCCCTCGCAGTGCTGCTAAGCCTTCCTCCTTTCCTCTCCTGCCGGCAGCTGCTAACGACAAACAGGCAGGGGCATATTTACCACAAGGCAAACAAGGCACTTGCCTAGGGCAGCATTTTTCAGGGGGCAGCACATCCCCTCAGAAGAAGGGATGAAAGAAGGGACACACGCACCATGGGAATCAGGTGGGATCCAAGAAAGATTGCAGGCTGCTTGATGGTGTATGTGGAACCTGATTCCAGGGATGTCCGGAGCTTTGAAGATGAGTGTCTTTCTGTATATCGCCGGGGGGGGGGGGGGGGTAGTGAAAGCCTTTCCCGATTGGGGGGCAGGGGTGTTGTTGGGGGGCAGATGATTTTTGTGTTGCCTAGGGCAAAATTCGATTCGTGCATCCGAAGTTTGCTAATCTTCGGATTCGTCGCGAATAGAATTTTTCCAAATCTTCAGAACGAATTCCACTTCATCATGTTCGATTCGCTCATCTCTAATGACCACCTATGAAAAATATTTAAAGGATTGGTTGGTTCCTAGGAGATTGAGGTGGGATATCCCCATTTGTGATGGCCTCCTAGATGAAGAATCATCCGAAGAATGGTTTAATTTCTTTAATGAAAAAGGTCTTGAATTGTTAAAATTTTTATTGAAAAGAGAAGAAAATGAGGAATTTAAATATATAAGTGGGAGAAATTAAAGATAAATTGGAACCGTTTAAAGATTCTCAGGAAATGTCCAATATGACTAAACGACTCAATAAAGATTTGGAAAAATTAGAGCAAGA